TGGGCGGATTCGGGGGGGGGCAGCACTTTGGGCGGACTCGGGTGCAGGCACCGGGGGGCCCAGACCTTGAGCTGTGTCAGGGGCCCCAACATTTCTGATGGCAGCCCTGTGTAGATCAATTAAAAAGTATGAGGAAAGTGGTCTTTCTCATTATAGGCAGGGTTTAAAATTTCAAAATGTATGCTACCAGAAAGGCTTAAAACCTATTTGCCATGGCAAGCCTGGAGGGTCCTTGGCACACTCACCACAGGTGGATTTGTACTTGCTTTGGCAGCATTTTCACCTGCCAATTACTAGTGGAAATTTTGAGCCCTGTATAGATATAGTTTTAATTGCCCCTTTACACTAGACCACCAGGAAGACCAAACCAGTGGATACCTAGCCATGAGGGCTGTGGTTAAACCCATTTATCTATGTTTGAAAAACAAACAAAAAAAAATAGCAAACAAGATTTATCTTTTTACATACAAGTATATGTATAATGCGCATATGTATGTTTAAGCACCCAACTTGAGAAATAAGTAGTTCTTTACACAAGTCTATTATAACGATTCATGCATTTTTCTCTAACATTTCTCTATTATGCATTAAGAGAGAATAAACAGTGTGTAAGCCTTGTTGTATAAATACAAGTAAGATATTTAATGATGTAAGATAGCAATGGGTGTGCTGTTTAGAAAAAATCAGTAGACATCAGGGAATTAAGCGTTACTGGACAATAAGACCATTCACCCACCTCCTACAGTCATTGTTCATCATTGTACGGTAATACATTTTTCAAATGTAGGCTTCCTCGCAGGGTTATATGCAGAGTTTAAAGACAAACAGCAGTAATAAGATCAGGTTGTGGGAGTAAAAGTCACAACGATGCTGCAATTTAAATAAAGGACAGGGAGACAGAGATACGATGGAACAAATGCTGATACTTAGTGCTTCAGCTCTTTTGTGTCAATCTGTGGGTCTATTTTTCAGCCTTTTTTTATTCGCAATTGTTTTCCTGGTTTATTATTCTGTTTCTGTGGTTTTTCTATCATGTTTTAAACAAAAGTGAATATTTCAATAACACCAAACTTTGTTACACCCCTAGCTGTCAATCTGACAATCCACCCAGATAAAAGAATGCAATATTAAATGCATGTTTTTATGTGGGGTGTATCTACTAAATTGTGTTTTTTATTTTGTATTTATTTGTGCAGTGGAGTGTCCATTTAACTTTACAAAGCTTTTTTTTCCCCCAGATTGTCTGACAATTCTATTCAATAAATCTTTCTGTCTACCTCTCTATCGCACCACCTATCTCGTTCTCTCTGTGCAATCCCTTCTTTCTGTTTTATAACATTTTACTGAGCAACAGTAGAGTACAAAACAATTCAGAATATTTTACACAAAATAATAGTGTTAAAGAGACTTACACTAATAATATGCAGAGACAATTGCTTAGTATTTTTAACTTAAATATAAATATATCGGGCAGGGCGTGACCTGAGGCCAAGCTGAATAGCTGAATCAAAAAGAGCACTGAGAAATAAACCTTTTTTTATTCCTCATGGGGTGCTTCACAAGAAGTCGATGATGCAAACTGGCGAGGCTCAAGATGGCGGTGATACAGTGGAGGACAGAGACTCAGTGAGTGAGACACAATCGGAGGTAGATTCTCCCTTATCTAGAGAGGTCCTTCAAGCTATGTTGGAAGCTGATAAATTAATTGAAAGATTACATGAAGCCCTTCAGGAACTTACCTTGACATGTCAGCATCTTCATTTAAACCCAGACACAAAGCCCTAAAGGCACAATGTACGTAATTCACCAAACTACCTGGTAATAGCGGTTTTATGATATATGGCGAACTCTTTACCAGCAGAATAGAGAGTGTACTTATGACTCCACCTTCCATAATATTTATTCACGTATAGATTATTATCTTACATAGAGGACCGCATTAGAACAAATACTAGATTGTCCATAATTCCAATATCCACCAATCTACAATTCCTGAAATTATTAGATATTTAGACTCAATTCCTCTCTCTCGATCTACTGCTTGGGTTGAATGCCTAGCAGAACCAATTGTGGCAGACAAGATATTGCAAAGGACACCGTCATTACCGGTTTCCAAAGCTCCAGGACAAGACATTCTTTCAAATGTTTATTATAAAAAATCTGGTTACACATTAGCATCTTAGTTAGCAAAAAATGTTCAAGGAATCTATTTTAGGTCAAGGACTACCGCTGGAGATGCTTTTAGTCAATGTAGTCACTATACCCAAACCAGGAAAATCCCCATCCCACTGCGAGAATTATTGCCAAATTTCCCTTTTGAATTTGGATGCTAAATTACTAACCAAAGTATATGCAGCTAGGCTTCAAGACATTTTACCCACAATAATTCACAACAAATAAGTGGGGTTTCTGTGACGGAGACAAGGTGCAGTACATTTTTGTAAAGTTTTAGACCTGACACATACGTAAGCAAGAAGGTATTGTACTATCTTTAGATATTAAGATGCTGAAAAGGCATTTGACCGCCTCAACTGAATTTTCCTGGAGGCAGTCTTGAAAAATTTGTGTTCTCAGAAAAGTTTTTAAATCTAGTGAGGACATTATATTGTAAGTCATCCACAACAATACTCAATAGTGGATTTGTCTGTGAGCCATTTTAAGTAATGACGGGCACCTGACAGGAGTATCAATTGTTCCATTTTCTTTACATACAAGATCTAGAACCCACAAAAGGCAAACATGAGTAAAGTACATCTTTACTCATGTTTGCCAAGGATACATTACCAATATGATATTTTGCTGACCATCACCCAACCATTTATATTCCTGCCAAATTAACAAAAGGTGGTGCAGACTTATAGCCACCATTCATATTACAAACATCACTAAAACCCAAGCTGTTGGGATTAATATAAATCGAGAAATTAAGAGAACGACTTAAACAGTCATTCACATATGATTGGAGATCTGACTATTTGACATGTTGGGAATAAGACTAACCAGAAACATGGAAGGGTTGTTTAAACAGAATTATCTTAGATTTAGCAAGGATATCTGTGCAACCTTTGAAGAATGGCATCACAAATAAATTTCTTCGATGGGTCAAATGGGAGCCATTAAAATGGTTCTTCTTCCCAAACTACAACTCAAACAAAAAAAAACAATTAAAAAAGGAGGCATTGAAATGCCAGATTTGATGTCTTATTATCATCCAAGTGTGGGATAATATAATTGTTGCACATCCAATATATAGATCTCCCCAATGGGTAGCTATAGAATCCCACAGGCTTCCCCAAAAGGAACTATATTGGTTATTTTGGACACCTAAGGATAGCAGGCCCAAGCAGATAGAATGTCTACCTACCACAACCTTGACACTAAATCTATGGGATAAGATGAGGAATGTGATACATAGCTCTAATCCTTTATAGTTAGCAGCACACCTTCCAGGTCATGGACCACTTATTTCCACATTTTCCCTCAAACCCTGGAAGGATGCTGTTATCACACATATGTATTTGTTTTTTTAATAAAATAATTTTAAAAAATCATTGCAATCCTTGAGGGAGGAATATACACAACATAATACCTTAACCTTCTCTTATATACAACTTAAATCTTATTTTAGAACCTTAGCTATGCACCAATCTAACAAATATGACTAACAAGGAATGACAATCATTGAAAATATATATATGTGGGTACACTGCCCAAAGTGAAAAGTGATAGACCTGCCTTTTTGTTAAGGCACGGGAAAATGATGTGTTGCAATCCATAGACCCAACAAAATGGAATCAAGCTTTTGTAGTACATAGAGACCTTACTGCATGCACAACTCACCTAGAAGTGTGCAGAAAGGTGATGTATACATGGTACTTCATGCAAGCTAGATTGGTGCATATTGGGAGATCTGTTTCTCTGAGATGCTGGAGATGAGTACATGTAATGTCACAATACCATATTTGGTGGGAATATGACTTGGTGCAGGCCTTTTGGTTAAAAATTATGCAACTGAGTAAGATGGGGATATCACTAATGCCATCAGTGGAACTATGCTTACTCTTAATGTTACCACAAGATACACCCAAAACTTTGAAAGTAATTATTTTCCATTTCATAGTAACAAGCAACACATTGCTGTAATATTGTGAAGGCCTGTACCCTCTGAGGAAAAACTCATAGACCAGGTAACTCTCACGGGAGAATATGAATGAATGATGGCATCACAAACAGACTACCTCAAGGCTGTTAAGAAGTCATGGGAATTTTGGAGGTCCCTCATAGAGCATAATTAGGACACTACTAATACCAAATACTAGTAGCGGGGAAACACACCTTCTGGGGGCAGACATCGACAAGGGGAGCCCCCCAGGTTAAAACGAGCACCAAGTATTACACACGTGGCGGGGCCCGCCATCACTTACATGCGTGCCCTGCTGAAAGGCAAATGTGGCCCCCTGAAGGAGGACAAACCGGGCCAGCCACGGAGACCCCAGCACCCCCTGAGGGAGCAAAAAGCTCCCCACAGACATGCACAGCACAAGCGGCGCACCAACACCCAGAGAGGGGGGAAAACAAGGCGACCATAGGCATGGGCATCGGCTAAATGGGTTCACCTAGACTATGCAAACTGCTCCAAGCATGCCATACACAGACACAACGCTTATACTTAACCTACACTGAGCTGAACGGCTGTCGTAATGTATGCTACAGACTTCCTCTCGTTACTTTTTGTTTAGTTCATGATTAGATTGCCTAAGCTCTTATCTGTTATTTGTAGTCAGACATACAGGCCTAGCAAAAGTATAAATATATGTCACCAGTGCGCTGGTAGTTTCCCTAGCCAGGCTGGTATTCATTCAGTTAATCTTGTCAACCTCATGATGACTGACAGAATCTCTTGAAACTCTCCTAGACACACATAGCGTGTGTGACAAGTAAATTGTATTTTTATGCATGAACATCATCTGAATAACTAAATTAAAAAAATGTACACATACCCTTGAATACCCTGATGTAAACCATGCCGTCGGGGTACCACACGCATGCTGTTATTTTTCTTTGCACTGCAAAAAAAAATAAAAAAATTGTTTCTTGAAAATGTTAATTTCTGAATATCATTGCTGTTTTGTTTAACTCAATAAAATTGTCAAATTTGTAAAAAAAAAAAAAAAAAAGAAACCTCAATAATTGCCATTTACATGCAAACAGGGAATAAACGGGGAGACCAGTTTGTAGAATGAAAAAAGTATAGAGAGCGTTACAATAGCTATGCTAATATAATACCAGGTTAGTGGAGTGTAATAGATGTAGAGGCCATTTTATGGAATGGAAGGTGAATCATATGTTTATATAAAGGAGTTAATTCTAAAGTAGATTTTATTTTTGTTGGAATGTTTGGTGAAGTGCCAGTATATAGGGTTACCAACATTTAAAACATTTTTCAGAAAAATGTTCTTTGATTTGTACTGTTTCTAACCTATCTATTCTAAATGCAAAAGCAATATTGTGTTTATATTATGGTAGAGAATGGTTCATAGGTAGAAGTGACAAACGAGCAGTCAAGTGCAGGGTTTAAACTGGCATTTAAATCTGCTCTAAAAGGGCTAAAAGTACCATAACCATTACAGCTCACTACATAACAACTACAATTCAACAATGAACAATGCACCCATAAAAAAAAAAAAAAAAACTTTGCATAGAGACACACCTTTAAATTCACCTCCCCCAATATTCTGAGGTAGATCACAAAATGTTCTACCACCTTCCGGACTACATCATTATGAGCTCTTAATAGAAGCCTGTGTGAATTAATCACAAATTGCTCTGAATAAGCCCTAAAGAGCTCAGAAATGGAATCCTAAACAATTCCTTAAATATCAATTAAATAAATAAATAATCAATGTTTAAATGCTTATCCCAGGTTCTCCATTATTTAAAAGGGCCTCATATTTACATGGGAAAAATTACTAGACCCTCTATGTCCTCATGCCCTTCATAATATATATGGTAGGGTGTGGAACTGCACTCTATCCCTTTAAGTAGTATGTAGCTGGGTGCAACTCGGACAGTCTCAGTACCAGAGACCAAATGCTGAGTAACAAAATAGAAGAAAGGTCCAAGCACTCCAAGGTGCAAACCAGGCAATTTTATTGAACCCACTCCATCACAACGTTTCGACCTACAAAAGATTGACAAAGACCGTGTAGGTCGAAACGTTGTCATGGAGTGGGTTCAATAAAATTGCCTGGTTTGTACCTTGGAGTACCTAGACCTTTCTCCTATTTTGTCCTTCATAATATAAACACAACATTGCTTTTGCATTCAGGGGTGGTGTAATAATTATGTGGGTCCAATGAACATTCTGTCAAAGAGTAAGAAGCCTACAGTCTCCTATTAATCCACCTTCAGTGTTCCGCTTACCAATACCATGCAAAATGATGCCCCATTTCTTGTATAGTATTAGTGTGAATCTCTATCCTCTACACTGCCGGGGGACATGCAGCCAACACTGTATTAATAAAATACATCCTTTTCCATCGTCTGTGCTTTAACATTTGTATTCACGGGGAGTTACCTCTCTTAATGTTAAAAATACAGCAACAAAAATAGATCCATTAGCCAATGGCTGCCTTCAAAATGCCTTTGCAGCCATAATGTATATATTCCATATATTAGCTGTATGCCCAATGTAATTGTGTGACTTGTTCATCAAATCGGCCTCTTCCTGTGATATGTGTGTTTACATTTCCTAAATGAAAGCTACTGTAATAATGTTGATTGGACAATTTGATTGCCACTTTATTGATCTTTTTGTTTATTTAATGGATGTTTTAAATAAAGAACTGCATTTGATGTATTGTTGAAAACTGTGTAATTTCTGGGAACTCACCCTACCCATAGCACACACATAAATGATATTACTTACAGTCCTTGTTGAAAACTCACATTTACCAATATCTGACCCATATTAAAGGACCAGGTGTTTCCTAATCCCTATGATGGCCCTAATAGTTTGTTGATTAATCCCACCAATAAGAAATGAGGAGATGATCTATGACCAGTATCAATAAAATGAAACCTTATTTTAATGTTGAATGTTTAAATAGCGTTGCAGATTCCAGTCGCCTCTACTTCTGTATTCTGATTGAATGCCTATGCAGACAGCCAAATGTAATGCAGCACAAGCATATTAAATGGGATCTAAATATATATTATAACACTTAATAGAGTAAGAGGGACAGTGATGGATGGCAGTCTTCTCTACTAATTACAGTAGTCCCTGGATTTAGAGTCAAAGATGTTTTGACTTTAGCATGAGTAACAGGGACTATAAGAAGGCGTGATCATCATCTGTGAGCTTAGGCTCCAAATTTGCTAAAAGCATGAAAGCAAAATAATTAGAATATATACAAACAAGACAATGAAAGAGTAAAGAAAGGTAATGTAATTATTAACCTCCTGAAGTGGGGAATATCCCCTAGTGAGACTAGTCACCATGGAATAAATGAGAAAAAAGAGAACTGCCAGGAGAGAGCGAGAAATAATAACTTTATTGCTGGTGGGATGGCAAATATCAACCAATTAGGCTAGGTGTTTCTAAAAATCAAACTTAACTTTTAATATAGCGATTAAGAGGTGAAATAAGTCACCACGACAAAAAGAAAAGGAAAAGGAAATTCAAACAGAAATAATAATGTACATATTTACAAAACAATTATCCTGAATGTAGCTATAATGTCTGTATATGAAAATCTGGTAGTTCTGGTAGGGATAATGAATACAGAGTAAGGTAGTACAGGCTGTAGCTTTGTGAGTTCAGGATAATAGTGTCAGGAACTGCTCTGCTCTGTCTTGTTCAGGTCTGGCCTTGGCTTCTGGTATCCAGTACTCTTTTTACAATTCTTGTTTAGTTTTTCTTGGTTTTTCTGGTTTTCTATTCTATGTCTGGTTTTCTTGATGCTGGGTTTTCTGGGTTCATTCCTGTATTCCGTTCCTGGAATGCCCAGTCTCTTGGATTCCTTTAAATGTTTGTTTTATGTTGCCACACCCTTTCCTTTTCCATTAATCCTTTTGTTTCAGTTGGTTTCTGCAGGCAGTTGTTCCAAGTCCTCTGCCCCTTTCTTGCAGGTAAGTTCTGTGTGTGTTTTATTATTGTTTATTTAGTCCTGCATATCTAGGTAGATAGGACCCACCGTACTTGGAGTACTTTGACGCAGTGGTGGGCTGCATACATCTTGGCCATTTATGTATGTCTAAATCTCCAATGTTTTACATATATAGTACTTATAGTACTATAAGAGTTATGTCTCCTCTTGTTTTGCCTATTATATCTTGTCTTGTTTTATTTTGTATTCCCAGTCCATGTCCTGCCCCTGTTCTGTTAATGTTTCCCTTATGTATTGTGTACATGTTCTGGGTTTTACTTTCTATCCTTCTCTGGTTCTGGGTTCTACTAGTTTTGTCTTGTTTTCTTGTTTGGTGCCTATTCTACTCTTACCTTGTTTCTAGTACTGGATACATCTCAGCATTCATCTGCTCTTGCTTCCATATAAGCTGCATCAGGGTCTTGGTAAGTGGCCGCACAAACGCTGGTTCTCAACACGAGGGGGCGTGCGGTTACCCTGTACCAGGCCATACTTATCCACTACAACGCTGAAGACTCCGCTCATCTTCTACATCAGGCACAGGGGTCCCGGTCTTCGGATCGCCACCCTGACAAATAGAAAGACCATATGTAGCAGACGAGTGGTATGAGGAGAATAGACGTGCATCAGGGGTTCTGACAAACACACTTCATAGCCACTGTATCACGAGTGAGCTCACGTTCAGCTTATAATAACGTTAACAGAAATTTACTACCTCTCCCCATATATTGGATAAAAAAAAGTCTTTCTTTCATTATATCTATTCTCGGGGTGGGAGACATTTCTTATACATCCATTTAGGAGTTACAGGCATTTTGGGTTAAGGGGTGCCCTCGAAGGCACAGAATTAGTATTTACTTTTCCTCTCCCTGCCATCACCCCTATTGCTACATACATATATTGGCTACATTGTTTGGCAGCGACTACTAGCTAATACAATGTTGCTTTTTTGTTCTCACTACATTGCTGAACTTTTTCTCTAGCAAGACCATTTGGCCTGTATTACAAGCATTTTCTGATATCTTAGTATTCCTATTGAAGCACTGCACATTATGAAATACTACTTTTTTTTTTTTTAAAGGGAGGGAGATGTCCCCTTATCCCTTTGTTTGGTGTTTAGATTTAGATTTTTTCTATCCTCCCTATACCACTGGTCTGCTACAGATGGTCTTTTTAGTATCCTTCTGAACTCACAAAGCTACAGCCTGTACTACCTTACTCTGTATTCATTATCCCTATATTTGGGTAGAACTACCAGATTTTCATATACAGATATTATAGCTACACTCAGGATAATTGTTTTGTAATTATGTACATTAATTATTTCTGTTTGAATTTTCTTTTCCTTCTCTTTTTGTCGTGGTGACTTATTTCACCACTTAAAGGACCACTCTAGGCACCCAGACCACTTCAGCTTAATGAAGTGGTCTGGGTGCCAGGTCCTTCTAGGGTTAACCCATTTTTTCATAATTATAGCAGTTTTAGAGAAACTGCTATAATTATGAATGGGTTAAGCCTTCCCCCTAATCCTCTAGTGGCTGTCTCATTGACAGCCACTAGAGGCGCTTGCGTGCTTCTCACTGTGAAAATCACAGTGAGAGCACGCCAGCGTCCATAGGAAAACATTGTAAATGCTTTCCTATGAGACCGGCTGAATGCGCGCGCAGCTCTTGCCGCGCGTGCGCATTCAGCCGGCGGGGCGTAACGGAGGCGGAGAGGAGGAGGAGAGCTCTCCACCCAGCGCTGGAAAAAGGTAAGTTTTTACCCCTTTCCCCCTTCCAGAGCCGGGCGGGAGGGGGTCCCTGAGGGTGGGGGCACCCTCAGGGCACTATAGTGCCAGGAAAACAAGTATGTTTTCCTGGCACTATAGTGGTCCTTTAATCGCTATATTAAAAGTTACGTTTTATTTTTTTATTTTTATTTTTTTCAATTCTTTATTTTAGTGGTGCTTTAAGGGAACAACATGCAAGTATCGACATTTTGACCTTTCCAAGAGTAGCATACGAGATAAACAATATATATCGAGTTGTCAGCACCTTTTTTGTTAATATAGTAGAGAAATAACAGCGAAGTTTAACAAGATTTACAAGAAATAGTAACCACTGGTCCGCGCAGTCGAATCTGAGAACATCAGATCATACAAGAAAAGAAAAGGGGGATAGTCTCCACTGGGCAGTGCTTCACAAAATATTATTGCCAACCTATTAGGTAAATAAAGCACACCTTGTTGTAGGAGAACCGTAGGTTATTCCCAAGACTGCTTAGGCAATGTCTGGGGGTGGGAGGATGAGGCAATATGAGCAACGTTAATGTGCATGGGAATTTCTATGTTTGAGGACAGTGACTGTGCGGCACATATCAAATGCTTACAAAGTAAAAGAAAATAAAAAACACAAGCTAAGATGAAACACATGTTAATAAGGCATATCAATCTGGAGCTGTACACCTTTGCACGTTAGGAGAGTCCATCGGCAGGTTGTTGGTCAGGGACATTAGGGGTGGTAGTCCTAGAAAGTGCTGTCCGAGTGAGGGATTGGAAAAAGTTAAAAAAAAAAGGCAAGTTACTCAGCCGATGCCTCCTCTCAAGGCCCATTCCTTCCATGTGCTAGGAGGTGCTGTTGGGGATTACCCAGTGACCCTGGGTGTCAGCGTGCCAGAGCTCCGTATAGGTGGCAGCGTGTTGGAATAAACTTGCCCCCGGACAGGTCCTTTCATGGTTGGGGAAGCTGAGCGAGGTGAGAGATGGCTCGAGTGCTTCGCACCGCTCGGGTGCTTCACTTATTTCTTCCGTTGGATCACCGAGAATCGGGCGTATATGGCGTTTCTACCGCTAGCAGAGCGAGGTAAGGTAGCCCTCCAGCTCCCGGTGTCTACTATGGGCTGCCCCTGGGTGCCATTAGCCATGGTGCTTTGGGTTTTCCCTCTTGGAGGGTAGTGGAGCGTCTCGCCTGACTGCCGTTGCAGGTGGCAGCGTGGCCTCCATCTGCGCGGGCAATGCTTCGGGGCAGTGCCCCTAACAATCTTCTTAATGGTCAGATGTGCACTCGGCACTGTTGGTGTGGGAGGTGCTGGTGTCGGAAGTCGTGCAGGTTGGCTAGCTATTCTGTTCCAGAATTGCTCACATATGGCATCAAATCTGGCCCTGAAGAGGGTGCTCCATTCCTGGCTCTCCAGATCTGCTTGTGAGTGTGGAGGCACTGCTGCGGCAGCCATTTTGGGTAAGTTGCTTGGTTTCATGCTGGCCACTGAAGGCATGTGCTGTGGAGACAGGCTTACCCAGTGGGGACCGGGATAACCCCCACCGGTCCGGGGGGGGGAAAGAACTGCAGGGCCCCGCTGTGAGTTGTGGAGCGAGGAGATCGGCCGCCTCTCCCCAGTTCCACTTCCAGTAGGCCGCAGTAGGCCCGTCTGGGCATTCAGCTACAAAAGTTGTCGAGTAAGGTATCGATCTGCTTGCCCAGGGGACCCTGACCCAGATAAAGCTTGTTGGGTAGCGTTTGAGTTCAATAGCTGGGAGTTATGCCCCCAAATCTGCCGAAGTTGGAGGAGCTCAGACTCTGCATGTCTTACCAGCTTGATGGTCAGGCTCCGCCCCCACGTTTTATTTTTATACCTAGTCTGATTGGTTGATATTTGCCACTCCACCAGCAATACAGTTATTTCTCGCTCTCTCCTGGCAGTTCTCTTTTTTCTCATTTATATACAAACAAGCCTCTATCGAGACAAAAAAACTAAAATATATAACCCTGTAATGATTTTCTTTAACTAATGTGAAAATGAGCATTCTGTAATAGAAATTATATGAGATCATTGTTTGGGATATAGAATCATTTTCCAGTGCTGCTATGGAAACAGGGGATGCAGAATTATTATTTTTTTTTTTTTTAAAGAGAGGTTAAAGAGATTATTGGTGTTTATTAAAACCAAGTACAAAAGGTGAAAGTGCACACAGTGATTATATTTTGCCTTTTAGTATGTGACAAACAGGTCCTTTTTCAATCAAATGTATTAGTAGACCCTGTACAGCACAATCATAAATAGTACAATAATGCAATATGTAATAAACAAGCAGAAAGCACAGGTGGTGTAACATACATTAATTTAAGCTCTATCATAGAGCCAAGTGGGGTTAGTGTGTGAATTAGAATATTGTACAATGGGTTCTGATCAATTTACCAATAAAAACAATAAAACATAAAGCCTATATGTTGTCTCGTACCTCCACCAACATTAAGAATGCTAGGTAGCAATATGAGACACAGCTAGTCCCTGGCATTAAGACAGCTGTTCAATCTCAATCCTAAACACATGTGAATATAAAAAAAAGGCATAAAGCATTGTAGAGCGAATCAAACAAAAATAATCATCCCTCAGCAACTAGGGAGTTCATCTGGTAACATATGCATTTTGTCGATACGAAACAGCGTCTGCAGACAGCCAATTTGAAGGAATTTGTTCAAAGAGGTCCTGGAACTTAGTCATGGCGTAGTATCACCTGCCATTTGGCAACATCTGAAAATCCTTGGTGATGAATGGTGGTAGAGCAGAGGTTGGGGCCGCTGGCCTTTAATCTTGTGGGATGTGTATATTCCATGTAGACCGAACCTCATGTTCCTCTTCGGTAGTAGCCATTGGTTTATCCACTCCATTCATGCAAATTAGTAGCTTTGTTGGGAAGCCCCACTTGTATTGGACACCAGCTGCAGGGAAGACCCTTAGTAATAGGCCAAAACGCTCGCTGCTTAGTCAGGCCGGGGACAGGTCAGCAAACAACTGAATTCTAGAATAGCATGCAGTAATCCCATCAAACATGCAGACAGTGTGCATGAGACACTCTTTTATGTTATAAAAATTAACGCTGATGACAATGTCTCAAGGGGTTGATGCGAGAATGTGCCTCAATTGTCCAGGAAAAGCTCTTGTGTAAAGAAATCAGGTAGTATGGTCTGAAAGAGTTGACACAAACTCTGGAAGGGTCAGTTGTTCTATGTCCTTCGAAATGCCCCTTTTAGGCGAATATTATTACACCGAGCTCTATCCTCATAGTCATCCATCGTAGCATCTAGCCGCTGTAATTTATTATCTATATCCATATAGGCATGAGCCAAAGTATTAAGTGCCTCTAGTATCTCTTCAGTCTCTAGATTGAGGGTTCGCTCTAAGGACCCTGTGCCATGTATTTGATACTGCTTTGCTCTTTTTAGTATATTTACCACATTGTTTTGTTAACTTTATGTATACCATTTAAGACAAATAAAAATTGCTTGAAATAAAAGTTCAGTGCCACATTTTATTTAAGACCTGTGTGGCAACTAACACTCCACAGCCTAGTCATAACAATGATTTATGATTTATGTGCATCTTGCGTGCAGATTGTGGTTCAAAAGTTATGGAAAACTAAAGACTTTTCACAAGAAATAAATACTATAAGCCCTGAAACACCAATGGGAAAGAACAGATTGCATTCACTGGCACTTATTGAACTTTCACAACAAATCTAAAAT